AGCGAGGTCTAACAACACAGGACCAGCAGCATTATTAGAGCAGAAATTATGTCTGTTGAATGACGTAACGAATATTTTCAGAATGGAGGCCAACATTTTCCAAAAATTGTTATGATATAACAAGACTGACTCAATAGGTTATATTCAATAGCTTTTATGGCGTTACGGTTTATAATGTTCTCCTAGATTGCTCCTCTAGCTTATCATTTAGACTGGTCAGACATAACCCCCCGCCCCTCCGAAATAAACCCCATTGACAAAAAAACCCCTCGATATAAAACCACTAGAAAATAACCCTCATATATAGGTATGTTTGAGGAAATACAAAAGATGATGAGAACCAAAAATCATAATCAAAAGCTAAACAAAACGAACACAAGAGAAAAAAATATTTTTAATTAATTAACATTTAAAAAAGAAATATTGTTTGCGCTTATTACATGTTTTCATTTGGCACTAAAGTAATTTTAATATCAATCATGATAGAATCGGTTTCAGTTGTGTGTTAAGATTACAAGTTATTCTGCACATTTCCTGTATTTTGCCATACGCCATAAACACAGTCCGTTCATTGATCATATCGACAGTTTATGTTGTCAAAAAATATGCAGGCGCTGTTTGAAATGTACCATTCGTCACCACTGATGATTAGGGCTGTTATTAATGTCAATTAATGTCAAATTAATGTCAACATAATGTCAAATTAATGTCAAGATAATGTCAAATCAATGTCAAATTAATGCCAAATTAATGTTAAATTATAGCTTCATACCTTTCGACAGGGTGCAAAAGCCCCACAAAAACAATCAAATAAAATGGTTGTTTGTATTTTGTGTCTTTAGATTAATTAAATATAGAGCCGGAAGTTTTCCCAAAAGACACCTGCCCTAATAATCCGTTTCCCCATATGCAAATTTCACGAATGGACACTTGCCCAAATGCGAAAAATGCCCACGCCTAGTTAGACAAAAATAACATGTTACATTAAATAGACATAGTAACTTACTTTTTTTTATATTCCGTAGCTAGACTAACCTACATTTTAAAGGCTGTAGCTCTACTGGTGTAATATTGTAATACGTATATGCCAATTATCCTCAGAGTATCTTCCAATTTTCTTATCTTTATATCCTCCATTTACTCGTGCTATCTGGGCTTAACATTCTGTGCGAACGATTCACCTCACACAAAACAGTTGGCCAGACTTTTTCTAACATAAGAAGTAACATTCACAGTACAATGGGTTAAAGTCTGTAACAAGCAACATAATTTCGGACCCAACAGTTCATATTTCATCACTTCACACCTCATTAAATTATGATCCGATTGTTTGATAGGACACCATCATTAACCACACGTGCGAAAAAACACAATGCTGATCCTATGGTTAGGAGATGGAACAAATTGTTTGGAGGATAGTGTATACCACGTCTAACCATATAGTCTTGAGTCCGAACCCAGAACTGACGGTAAACTAAATTGTGTCAACCCAGCTGTATTGGGTACCTGACTTGTGTCCATCCAACTTTATTCGGTACCAGACTTGAGTCCACCCAGCTTCATTCAGTACCTGACTTGTTTCCACCTAGCTCTATTGCGTACCTAACTTGTGTCCACCTAGCTCTATAACGTACCTAACTTGTGTCCACCTAGCTATATTGTGTACCTAACTTGTGTCCACTTAGCTCTATTGTGTACCTAACTTGTGTCCACCTAGCTATATTGTGTACCTAACTTGTGTCCACCTAGCTCTATAACGTACCTAACTTGTGTCCACCTAGCTATATTGTGTACCTAACTTGTGTCCACCTAGCTATATTGTGTACATGACTTGTGTCCACCTAGCTCTATTGTGTACCTAACTTGTGTCCACCTAGCTCTATAACGTACCTAACTTGTGTCCACCTAGCTCTATTGTGTACCTAACTTGTGTCCACCTAGCTCTATAACGTACCTAACTTGTGTCCACCTAGCTATATTGTGTACCTAACTTGTGTCCACCTAGCTCTATTGCGTACCTAACTTGTGTCCACCTAGCTTATTTCGTACCTAACTTGTGTCCACCTAGCTCTATTGCGTACCTAACTTGTGTCCACCTAGCTCTATTGCGTACCTAACTTGTGTCCACCTAGCTTATTTCGTACCTAACTTGTGTCCACCTAGCTCTATTGCGTACCTAACTTGTGTCCACCTAGCTTATTTCGTACCTAACTTGTGTCCACCTAGCTTATTTCGTACCTAACTTGTGTCCACCTAGCTTATTTCGTACCTAACTTGTGTCCACCTAGCTTATTTCGTACCTAACTTGTGTCCACCTAGCTCTATTGCGTACCTAACTTGTGTCCACCTAGCTATATTGCGTACCTAACTTGTGTCCACCTAGCTCTATTGCGTACATGACTTGTGTCCACCTAGCTCTATTGCGTACATAACTTGTGTCCACCTAGCTCTATTGCGTACCTAACTTGTGTCCACCTAGCTCTATTGCGTACATGACTTGTGTCCACCTAGCTCTATTGCGTACATAACTTGTGTCCACCTAGCTCTATTGCGTACATGACTTGTGTCCACCTAGCTCTATTGCGTACATGACTTGTGTCCACCTAGCTCTATTGCGTACATGACTTGTGTCCACCTAGCTCTATTGCGTACCTAACTTGTGTCCACCTAGCTCTATTGCGTACCTAACTTGTGTCCACCTAGCTCTATTGCGTACATGACTTGTGTCCACCTAGCTCTATTGCGTACCTAACTTGTGTCCACCTAGCTCTATTGCGTACATGACTTGTGTCCACCTAGCTCTATTGCGTACATAACTTGTGTCCACCTAGCTCTATTGCGTACATGACTTGTGTCCACCTAGCTCTATTGCGTACCTAACTTGTGTCCACCTAGCTCTATTGCGTACCTAACTTGTGTCCACCTAGCTCTATTGCGTACATGACTTGTGTCCACCTAGCTATATTGTGTACCTAACTTGTGTCCACTTAGCTCTATTGTGTACCTAACTTGTGTCCACCTAGCTATATTGTGTACCTAACTTGTGTCCACCTAGCTCTATAACGTACCTAACTTGTGTCCACCTAGCTATATTGTGTACCTAACTTGTGTCCACCTAGCTATATTGTGTACATGACTTGTGTCCACCTAGCTCTATTGCGTACATAACTTGTGTCCACCTAGCTCTATTGCGTGCATGACTTGTGTCCAGCACGCTCTATTGGTTAATGACTTGAATGCCTGATTCGAGTTAGAAAAAAATAAAATCGGTTTGGCAAAGTTCTGACTACACTTATGTCAATGCACTTATAAATTTACAAATAATGCTACATAAAAACTTTATTTCCACTAAACAGATGCACGTCATCATATAATAATCCCGTATCCTTTTACTCGGGCAATTGGTTCCATTATCTAGCACCTGCTTACACTGAACTTTGAAAACCCTATAAAACGTATCACACGTGAATAGTCAAGACAACTTTTGGCCCAGCAGAAAGTTTACATTTGCTCAGCCTTTACTTCCAACATGTTGAAAGTTTGCCTGGTATTCATCGCTGTTGTAACACTGGCCGGTCGGTGATTTTAATTATTTTCAAACATTTCGTACTTTTTTCTGTGGTTTTAAGCTCGTATTTTTAAATATATTTTCTGTTGTATTTAACTAGACTTTTGATAATATTTCAGTGCTTTTCAACCGTTAAACGTTTTTTTTTTACTTTTTTGTGTCATCTTTAAAAATGTTCACATTGTTGATGGATTTCATCTTGAAATCTCTAATAAATTTTACTTTATTTATAATTTTAATTTGTTTTTCTTATTCTCAGCACTATTGTGTAAACGTATTTACTTTAATGTCAGTTAGCTGCTGTTTTTACAAGCTTTTATTTAACTTGCTTCCTCTGTATTTCTGTCTGTCCGTCGTCATAGATCGAAACGGGTGATCGAAATTGCGGGAACTTATAAATTAGTAAGCTGCCTACTGAAATTCCGCACCACTATAAGCGCCCTATCTTCACTGTTGACAATTTCTTAGACAATAATTTAAAATAAATAACTGTTATTCTCTGTTCAGTGTCTAAAGTAATTTTAAGTTTACAATACATTGAAAAAAATGTATCTAAAACAAAAATTAAGATTCTGTTACTTCTTTGTTAACCAGAGAGCCACGTGATCAAACGGCAAACCTGCTCGATTGAACAGATGTGTCCACTTCCCTTTGTTATTGATCGGCACAATCCTCTACCGACCCTCAATAACACATTGCTTGCTCCGGGATGCGCGTGAGTTATCGTTACTTCTTTTGACAGTTTATTTTTTAAATAAAATTATTATTAAGTTTATATGTAAGCATATATATTTATATATATATATATATATATATATATATATATATATATATATATATATATATATATATATATATATATATATATATATATATGTTGGGGGAGGAGGCACGATGGCCGTGCTTAAAGATAGGCGCTGTCCGTTCCAAAAGATATGCTTGAAAGAAACCCTGCTTATATTTTTATAGTTTTAAACCATACGAACCGACCCGCGGCATATCATACGCCGCTATTTAGTTGTTTTATTTTCTACTTTTTAGTAATTCATAATTTGTGAATTCGCCAGTACCAATGCTGCCACTGAAAATATTTGCTTTAAAACACTATCAATAGGTCGTTAAGAACGATACTACCCCCACCCTCCATTCCCCCAATCCCTACCCTACACCCCCTCCCCCACCCCCCGTGAAAGCAGCTTCCTCTTAGTTACCTCCCCTAAGTTTAAAATCATTTCAAACTAAATTATAGTGCTGACCAAACTATCGCCTCATATTGCCGAGGTCACAGAAACAGCTGAACTTCACTAGCCACATTGGCCGGCAGATTTGAAAGGGCACTTTACGTACTTTACTATGCCATGCTATGAGCATGGGCAGGTAATACACATTCCAGTTCTGACCTGCATCACGTGATTGATTTCAGCTTGCTGGGTGAGTATCGAACCTGTGTCGACACCAACATAGGCAGGTGTGACTACGACTACCAGACTGAGGAGACTCGGGCGAATTTAAGGATGGCAGCGATGGTGTGCAGCCACGCCGGAATACAAGGTAGGGTTTTTTTTTGGGTTGAGGGAGGGGGGGGGGGGTGAGGGAGGGGAGAGAGGGTAAGGGTCCCGTATTTATACATTAGCTTCAGAAATACAGATGTCATAACAGATTTTTAAAAATGTATAGTGATAACATTGTACTGAAACGTTAGGGTGGCGGCTAGGTCGGGCCGGTAAAGCTCATGGAGAAGTCGCCAATTCGAACCCCGGGTAGATGAGGCGCGATATCTGAGGACAACAACCAATCTAAAAGAGAAAGCGTCAAAATAAAACAACTGCTGACTTGTTCTAGTTGTGGAACCGAAAAAAAAGCAGGCTGAAATCGGAGTCTACAAGCTACTGACACTTATCACTTTGTTGCATTGTAATAAATGGCCTCAAATTTTATAATTAAGAAAGAATAAACCAAGAATAAATTACAAGGCAGCAGTTGTTTGATTTTAGAGTTGTCTCTCCTTGAAGAGTTGTCCCCAGCAATTGATCTTTATCTGACCGGGAGTTCGAACTCGAGAGTTTTCGTTTTAGTAACCATGATCTTTACAGCCGATTTCTTAACATGTTACGAAAACACAAGACTAAATAAAACAAAGTCTCGTTACAGCACTAATAGAAAGCGTAATAGTTACCAGCACTATCTTCACAAACACAGCCTACTCTAGATACGTAACACGGAGGTAAAACGCTAAATCCTACACCACATTGGCTTCTATACACAGACCTCAACTACACTAACCTGGTAGCATAGACATAGTGAATGAGGCAACCTAGCTACGCTGTCACACAACCTTTTATACCCGTACAAAAACAAACACAACCCGGACGATAACAGAGTAGCGACACAATTCACAACTTGAGGAGTGAACACTAAGAAATGGACTGGTTATGAAATACAAACATTCACCCTTTTCATTATCTTCAGTTCTTCCCTGGCTTTGGCATGGGGATCAGCTGAATTGATGTTCATTGATGGTATAGGGCTGGTAAGTAGGTCACCAACCAGTTCTACGGCTCAATAAAACCTGCATGAGCCATAGATCTGGTTGGTGACCTACTTACCAGCCCTATAGAAATAATGTATCTACTATTATTCTTCTATTTTAATTGCCGCTGCATATGTAAAGATGAGGTGTTACAATAAACATAAAAAAGTATAATGAAAAAAAATATTTTTAACGGGAGACATCCGATCAGAGTTTCGCCCACCCCCCCCGAAGAAAGTCTACCGCCCCCCCCCCCCCACCTCCCCTGAAAATTTCAAGTGCCCCCTGAGAAAAAAGTCTGGAAGAAACACTGCATTCGATTGTCTGTTATTCCCCTACCCCACATTCCGACCAACCTCACCATACTGTTTGACGATTTTAACATAATTTGTTGTCTAATATCCAATTGTAAGAAAATTTTAAATTCTTTGCTTTAATAACGACCGCATTTGACACTGTCACCTTGTATGTCCAGCCATTGACCAGCTCCACTGCCTTTCTGACCCGGAGAAGGCGCCTAATGTGCTTCACGGCCTCAGCAGATGCTGCTATCGAAATGTGTACCCGCACTATACCGAGACGAATGTTAATGTTTTATGCGGGTAAGATACAAACATTGTCACGAATTAGTTTAATTTAGTTGACTGGCATGTTTAGCTAAAATAGAAACAAAAAAATACAATGCTTGATGTTACTTTAAAATCTTAATTCCAATTTGAAATTTCATCATCCTTTCCGATTGCCCCCATGACACATGGGCAGGTGAAGTAGAGTTCACCTGTTAAAGGGTCCTGTGCATATGAAAGGATAGTGTGGTCAGCACTTTGTCCAGCCGCCTTTGCTTTACCGTACGTGAGTTAGGTACCCATCAGAGCTTAGTGGACTCGAGGACAGTAAGCTGACTTGAACCCGGGTTCAAAAGCAGCCGAGCTCTTAAGCAAAACTCACTTTACACACTAGTCGATCTATTCTCTCATTGACTTACGTACAGGTAAAAGCTTACGCTTATTTCATTTTCGCTTGTATTTAAATATGATTATTGTCTTTTTATAAAACAAAAATTGATCCAGATAATGTTAGTTTTAAATTTCTTAGATCCTAAAATTCAAATTTCTAAGTAATATATTTTTCTAGCTTTGAATGAATCTAATTGAATACAATTTAGCGTTATATTTTTTTCTTGAAATACAACTAAGCCTGAAATACATGTCTTTGAATAGGTGTGAACCTAATATTTATAAAATTATGTACTCGAAGGTAATTTCATGTAAACATGTCGAATGTACATAATATGTACATCTGTTTGTGTACGCCAGCAACATTGTAGGCGCCCAGCAATGCTTCAGGGATGCTGTACGAGAAGACTGTGGTCAGCCTGTTGAAGAGTTCTTGTCCAGAATAGCTTGGGAGTACTGCGGCTACGGGATACTGCATTCCGTCGAATGTGGGTCTGCCACTGTAGTCTAGCAGCAATAAATGGTAAGTAAAGAGCAAAGCACAATACATTTGATTGAAAATAGGTTCTATTTGTCGTGAGGTATGTACATTTTAGGTAAAATGTTCGGAGTTTGCGTTGATTTTGAAAATGTGTTGTAGTTTAGTTTATAATGCTGGCGTAGACATTATTTATCTTAATTTTTGTCAAAGCTATGCAAATGAATGTATTCGCCGTGTAACTCAGTTATGTTTCCCCGTAAAACAAAATGCGAACATCAATTATTTTGGAATCTAGACCATACAGATTTTTTAAATACAAAATGATTCCCTGATGTATGTTATAAATCACAATATGAGTTGTACATTTTGAGAGGGAGGGTATTTTTTGTTACACTGGAGGAGCAAGGGGGGCTATAAGGGTTGATTAGGGGCAGGGGCGATGAAGATGTAAGAACATTTCGAAATAATTATAAACCAGGGAGATTGTATATAAGTTGATATTGTTTTTTTGTGGTGGTGGAGGCGAAAAGTGTCACAATTTTAAAATATGTTCTCGATTGGCATACCAAGGTCGGGTGCCACCAGGTGCGAATAATTCAGCATGCTCACTTTGGTGCTACCCCTTCCCATACTTTTTCATTATTTTAAAAGTTTAACACAATATATGGACATTTATTTGATGTCACCCTCTAAATACTGTCACCTGGTGCGGACTGCAACCCCCACCCCCACCTTGTGACGCTACAGATGTGCACGATCCTCGTTTTTCACTACAATATAGAACAATCATAAATAAAATATCTGTAAAGTAAGCAGGCGTACATTAGTTCAAGACTGAAGATTTTTTTACATTCTAAAATAAGTTACCATTTTCAAACGTGTCGTATAAGGGGCAGATGAAGTAGAGTTGACGTTTTTCAGTCACACTCAGCTCATAATTGTATAAGGTGAATTACGCTAAGCTCAGCCGCCTTTACTGTCTAAAAAGTAAATGAAGTACCCTCTGGAAATGAGTGGGTTTAGGAACTTAACATAATGAAGCTTTTAATACAAGCTCCAGAATTTTGGGTTAGCAGTCACAAACTCGAAATTCATTAACAAATATATTTAAAAGCCTACTTTGATAGTATTTTTTATGAATTATTAGAAATATGTAATAATATGTATATAATAATATGTATTTATATTTTCTCATTATTTTCAGATTTCCAACATAGAAAATACTTTTAACTTATTTAGTAATTCACAAAAATAAGTTTTAAAAAAATAAAGCAATCATAAACCTATATCTTTGTGTTTATTATTTTATTATTTTTTTCGTTGATGTAGGTAAACTATTTTAAGCTTACGTAGAAATATAGAAATTTAACCCTAAGGTTGAACTAAATTTTGTATTATTTGATATTACAGGGAAATGAATAGGCTGCATATATCCAATGTCACAGAAGCGTCAACAATCTTATATTAGTATTGGATAATTTTCGCCAAGTAAACCTCACCCTAAGAAATATTTCTGTAGAGGCCTCCTAGATCTTACATCAACAGCTTTTATAAGTTATAGCATGAGTTTAAAGTTTCTGGTAAAGTTTTCGGCGCATGCAACTGTTTATTTCGAATGTCTAGCACCTGACACAAACTTTGCACGTTGATAAGGCAAAGCAGATTCGTTGATCTAGAGACAATTATATTTTCAACCAGTTCTAACAAAACGAGATTTTGGTAGAACGATTTCCAACTTACAATTGTACAAAGTTGCAATGATCCTTTCCTCCTTTCAAGCATTACGATTGTTTCAGTAACTATTATTGTAATTATGGCATCACACACATACTATTGATTAATAACGGCAAAAGTGATTGAATATTATTTTGATATATTTTGTTGAACGGGGCAACATGTGTACATAGTTGGATATAAGCAGTTGAGTTTTTAGTTGTTTTTTTTAATTTGTCCTAATTTGTTTTATTTGTTGGTGGTTTTATTCATGAACAGAGTGCATCTATACAACCGGCTAAACTTCACAATCTATTCGCAATATGCTGAATAATTTTGCATTACAGGCATCGCGTTTTGACAACCCACCTCCCGTCATTTCGTTAAAAACCAGGGTTAAATTCCAGACACATTGGTAATTTTAAGTGTCTTTGACTGACAATCCATTAAGACGTCAATACAGAAACACCCCGGTTAAGTGATTGATAAAACCAGTATAGAAAATAAATGCATTTATAAGTAATGAAGACATATTAAATCATGTTTTTCGAATTTACATTTTTCTGAATTTACATTGAAAATTGCACATTGAATAAAAAAGGATTATAAATAAAACTAATTCAAATCACGAACGAGTATTCTTTTTAAAATATAGTCATGTTCTTTAGTGGTTTTGCTTTTTCATGAGTCTAAATCATGTTTTTATGATGCATTTTATTTTTTTCCACAACAACCATACATTAAAATATACACATAGTGCGCATGCTTTTTTTTAGAACTAGAGCACATTTAAACATTTAAATCCGCGCCACTGCGATTTCTACTGCACTAAGCTTTTGATTATTATGTTTACTGATGTTTTCTATTTAGTGACAATTTACGTATTACACAACACAGTTGACATTGTTTGCCACATTCAAAAGACTTGGGTTAATATAGCAATAAAACTAAACAAAAGCGATGCGGCACGTGTATTTCAGTGTTTCTTCCAGACTTTTTTCTCCGGGTGGAGGGGGGGGGGGGGTGCACCTGAAATTTTCAGAAGGGGGGGGGGGGGGCGGTAGACTTTCTTCGGGGGGGGGGGGTCCGGACACTGTTAAAAGTATATATTTTTTATATACATTTCTTTACGTTCGGGGGGGGGGGGGAGGGGGTGGTAGACTTTCTTCGGGGGGAGGGGGGCTTCGCCTGGAAGAAACTCTGGTGTATTTATATTATGTACTAGATACAATGGCTCCCAAGAAGTTAGACCAGATGCCACCGCTCCTTTTTGTCATACATAAAACACATTTAAAAAAAAAAAGCTTTCAAATTACCTGTAAAAAATATTGATTCTTAAAATATTCAATTTAATATTTTTCAAATTTATATTATTTGTTTTGTTATAAAAGCTGTTAATGCAGGATCCTTAAAAAAAGAGACATAATTAGATTAGGGAATACGTTTCAGTAAACAAATAAATAACCATTGTTAACTTATATTATTTTGTTATACATATTTAATTTTGTCATTTTGTTTCGTAGCTTTTGCTTCTACTACTATTAGACTAATTTAATACAAATATGTGTGATATTTCATTATAATTAAGGTTAGCCTATTGCAATGCAATCACGGGCGGAACTACAGTGCCGCCAGACCCCGCAATGCGGGGGGGGGGGGGGGGGATGGCACGCCACTTAGGGGCCCACAGCCGACCATAATAAAATTGTTATGGTTAAAAATTGTTTTGAATTTTCTGGCATTTTTGACTTGATGGATATTTTGTAAAAAAGATTACCGTAGCTGCGGTTAGATTATCTTTATTCTATAGACACCGTCACACGCTGTTGTATATTCTTTTTCCCTTTGTTTTTAAACCATTGTGAAAGCCGAGTCCTCTTTCTCCTACAATCAAACTTATCATAGATAAGCAAACGTTCAAACCACTTCCAAGACTTATTTCCCTTTTTTTAAAAATAGTGCTCATAAGCTCCTTTTAATAGATTCGTACTAAACAAATTAAAAATTAATTATTAATTAAGCAATTATTTCTCTTAATTATCTTTTTTTATAAAGTACGTACTAAAGAATGACAATGTATAAATGTATAAAAAGGAAATGTATTTAAAATTAATAATATAAATACAAAAAACAAAAATAAACATAACACGAGACACCATTCAGTGGCGGAACTAGAAAAAATAGGGCCACGCCGCAAAAATATTTTTAGCCCCCCCCTATATTTATATATATATATATATATATATGTATATATATATATATATATACATATACATATATATACATATATATATATATATATACATGTATATATATATATATATATATATATATATATATATATATATATATATATATATATATATATATATATATATACATATATATATATATATATATATAAATAATAAAAAAAAAATACAGTTTTTTTTTTCAAAACTTGAACAGCAATGAGAATCCTATGTTCGTATTTTGTGTTTGTATTTAAATATATATATATATATATTTAAATACAAACACAAAATACGAACATAGGATTCTCATTGCTGTTCAAGTTTTGAAAAAAAAAACTGTATTTTTTTTCAATTAATAAAAATTAATCCAACATGTTATGTGTCTAAGTACATTAGTCTGTTTTAAAAACTCTAGTTTATTTTATTTCTGCTTTCACACTTCCAAACCCCTAGTCGGTCAAAAGAATATAAAACATGAAAGCTTTGTATAAGTAATGGTGTCTCGTGCTATGTTTATTTTTTATGGTTTTTTTTTGTATTTATTTATTAATTTTAATATCATTTCCTTTTCATACAATGTCATTCTTTAGTACGTACTTTATAAAAAAAAATAATAAAGAGAAGTAATTACTTTTTAATTTGTTTAGTGCAAATCTATTAAAAGAAGCTTATGAGCACCCCTATTTGACTATTTAAAAAAGGGAAATAAGTCGTGGAAGTGGTTTGAACGTTTACTTATCTTTGATAAGTTTAATTGTAGGAGAAAGAAAAAGAATATACTAGAGCGTGGGGTGGTGTCTATAGAATAAAGATAATCCAACCGCAGCTATTGTAATCTTTTTACAAAACAAACATCAAGTTAAAAATGCAAGAAAATCATTTTTTTAACCATTAAAAATTTATTATGGTCGGCTGTGGGCCCCTAAATGGCGTGCCCCCCCCCCCCCCTGCTTGTTTCAAAACCCGAACATATATATATATATATATATATATATATATATATATATATATATATATATATATATATATATATATATATGGGAAGAGGCCTAAACATTTTTTTGCGGGGTGGCCCTTTTTTTCTTGTTCCG